CCATAGCTATTTAATTGATTGAATTTTGGGATGGAATTCTGTTGAGGGGAGATATTGTGATAATGGGTTTTATTTGTAAAAAATTTGGGGTTATTTTTGATTAAGTAATGAAAGATGAGGGGTGTGTTTTCAAAAATGGGTTTAAAATATCTAATTGCTTCATTGCCTCATCTTTTAAAATATATATATGCATATGTTCCTTTATAATTAAAAAGCTTTTGTTGCTTTTGGAATAAGAAAGAAAAGTGAGAAAGTTGGTAGAATTTTGTTCCTGGTTCGAAGCAAACATAAGAGAAAGAGGAAGAAACTGATTACATGATTATATCTGATTAATTGTTGCTATTTAAAGTCTTTAATTTTTTGTGATACAAGGTGAATTGTTACTTTAAAAGCATCATTTGATTTGCTTTAATAAGGAACTGTATGGTTTCATACTTGGGGTGTTTTTGAATGATTATATGTTATTTTTAGCATAATTTTGGGATTTGATATGTTATTACCAATTGATTGAAATAAGGATGGCATATTCAAGAGATGTGTACATTAGTAATAAGGGTGGCATAATCAAGAGTGGTGTACATTTTGTAATAAGGGTGGCATAATTATGAGCTGGATATATTGGGATAAAGATGGTATAATCAATTTTCTGAAAATGATGATTTTTTTATTATGGGATATTATTATCACATAATAATCATCAAATTCTTATGATGTAAAATCTCCAGTATTACCAACTCATATGGACTTTTTAATGAGATAATCAGGGTGGTAAATTCTTAAACATAAAATTATTCTAGGAGTGTTGAAAATGTAGCATTTTGTGTGGACAATAATGCGACCTGTGTCCATCATGTCGAAACATCAACAAGAACCATAAAGTACTTGAATGGTCTGTATTCAGGTTATATAGGTCGACAATTATCACCTTGTTTCGTTGTAAGAACGAATATATATATATATATATATATATATTATCCATAGCCTTAGGATGGTATTATTCATGTCTTGGTTAATGAGTAGGGTTTGCAAAAGTTCTAGGTATTCGAGAGGGTATATTATTATGGTGGTGTTGCTTCTTGTTCTGCAGGAGTCAACAATTGCAATTTGGATAATTGCCTTACACTATAAGAGGATGTATCTATGTGTTTTCTCAATAAACGGGTCTGTATGTCATGACCATGGTGTCCCTTGTGGTCATGCCCAAAGTTCTTTATTGGTGATAAAATATAATTCAATGACCCATATAATCCATTAAATTGACACATTAGCTTCTCTAACATTCATTAGAGCTTATGTAGATATACCTATTTCCATTCCCGTTGTATGATTCCCATGTGAAACGAATATCTTTACAAGATTCTATAGTATTTTAGTGACTATTAATCTTGTGCCATTAAGCACCAAGGAGATGATAGTTCATAGTCTATGTATTTGGTTGAAAGAATTATAGACTATTAATTCAATTAAACATTAGTCTGTCTCTTACGTGTATGTGAGAAGTCCCACAAAAAACCCGTTAAATTCTCCTCGATATATTCCTACACAGAATGGAGAATACTAAGAGTTTTGTATTTGTTTTTGATGTATTTCCTTACATCTACAACAATTATACATTCGGTTCTATATGTGAAATTAATTTAATACTTAAAATAAATTTCAAATAAACCTATATTTCATCAATTTTAAATATGCATGATATAATTCATTTTCAACTTGTTCCCTTTTTTATAGGAGCGATTATTAGTACATTTTTTATCGTCCATTATCTAACGCTCATTAGTTGCATCTCTCCTCCAAGGATTGAAAGATTCTTCCTACTCTTGCCATGACCCCGACCCTTTCCACGGTCTTGTCTACGTGGTGCATAGATGTCAAGTGAGTGAAATTATTTTTAAATCACTGTCTTTTGAAGTTATTTCCACCTCTAACATTTGCATTATTGACCTCAATAATTTCTTTATCCCAACATGTCTAACATTGTTATTTGAAAGAATCTTGTCATATCTCTCAATCACTTGTAGTAGATTGATGAGTTTGTTCTAAAGTTTATATTCGAGCTTATACTCATTCATTAGTATGAGTGTTGATATGTGAAAGATGGAAATGATGTTAAGAATCATGTCATATTCTGTGAGTTCCTTGCCATAGAGATTAAGGGGCCGTTTACCTAAACACTTACACAGTAAGCGCTTAACGGTAAAATTCAACTCTATGTCTTATTTATCGCACAAGATTTTAGTCTACCAAAACGATATCGTATATAACAATTTACCCGGTAAGCGCTGACCTTGGTAAGAGTTGTCGTCATTACTTAACAGGTAAGACTCTCCGTTCGTGCATTCATCTTACCAGGTAAGATTTTTGATCCTTGTCATATTCATCCGATAAGAGAATGTGACTTGATAAGCGCTTACCCGAGTAAGCATTTGGTAAACGGCCCCTAAGATGCATTTCTGAGACATGACATTTATTTGTTGAAATAAGTTACGTTCTTGTAATCAAGTGGGTTTTATTCCACTTTATGATTAGTTTGGGAAGTACATGGTAATGAATATTTCCGGTTTTCCTTTACGGGGCGGCCCCTATTCTTGGGGGTTTCTTGTGACTTATGTGTCTCTTAAAATTTTTAAGGTATTTACTTGTACCTTAACAGTCGATGGTTAGGGTCAATAAGGTTTGATGATTTTTACATTGCTTGTGTGAACCTATATTATGGTACTCAAGTTCTTCCAAATCCAGAAAGTCATAAAAATTGGAGAATGAATCATGGTCATAATCACTATATTGGATTTTTGCATGTTTACAATTCTTGATAACACTTTATCACTATCTCAATTTTAGAAAATAAATCACTCAATCTATTGGATTTCCATGTAGTAGGAGAATTACATGGATTACTTAAATCTCTACAAACCTTAGGGTTATTTACATCCATTTGACAAAATCCTTTTGATATTTTACGGTTTATTTAATTTGAATATAACGGTAATAATTATATACTTTTGGATGAGATTGGCATATGAAGCCAACTTCAATACTTTAATACCTTAATGGTATTTTGTGAGATTTTATATGAGGCCAAACAACCGTTGGTTTTGACCTAAAATCAAYAAATTTTTAGCGTCTTAATAGTATTTTGAAAGCTTTTGGAAGGAAAAAAAATATATATGGGAGTTGAAGTGTAACTTCCTAAAGTATTGTAAGATTGGAAATTATAAGTATGAATTTACGATTTTAGATATTATATTGGGGAAAGCAATTTTAGAGCTAAATCCATAATTAAATTATTAAAGATTTTAATATCAAATTAAAACCATTGGCTTACGTAAACAAACAACAATAAACTAGTACAACTTAATATACATTATCAATAACAATATACTAAAATATAATCATGTACAAAATTGTATTAGTCAATTTAAACAATAATGTTTAATAGATAATGATAATTTTTTATCAATTATATTAAGTTTAAATGCAAATTAACAAATTAAATGTTATCAAGACCAAGTTTAGATAAAAAATGGGAAAATAAACCCCCCTTTTTTTGTATTCACTGCCACAAAAAAAACCCTCAAGCTGCTTTATATATATATGGAAAACGAAAAGAGCACCTCAAATCCGTACAAGATTTATAAAATATGATCCCAAAAAGAAATAAAAGACTATAAACACAAATATCAAGGAGGGGGGGGGGGTGTTTTGTTATTCTTACATTTTTTTTTAATAAGCAAAAACAATCATATGAAACACAAGCAACAGTAAATTCTAGAAATACATAGAATATTTTTTTACCAATATGTCAAAAAGTTATAACAACAAGAATTATCATGGTTAAAATAGTTAACCACGGTTAATGATAACTCAGACAAAAAAAAGTTGCAAGTTTATGTAGAGATACTTGAATTGTAATACCAGGAAAGCAAACCTTCTAAAGGTGTTCTCTTGTGGATATAATAATTGTTTAGTAGCGACAGAAACGCCCTAAGATTACATGTTGTAAGGTGTTAAAGAAAAAAACTATATAGAACAACAGTGAATGGAGAGAATAATATGTAATTGTCATTAAACAAAAGCCCTATAAAAATATAGATAAGTTACAAGTAAAATATACGAGAGATGTCGTTTCTAAATTATCTCTAATATGTTTGTCTTTATCTATATCGTCATATTCTTTAGACGATAGCATATTTATCCTACAACAAAAACTAAGTTCATAATTGATTAGAAAAAATCCATAGTAGGATCCGTCTAGGATAATAGGTGGTAAAATTTACATGGGCTTGGACAATACTTGAAATAGGTGATGTATATTGTAGTCGATTTTGAAATATCGGTAACAAAAAATGTATTTATAAAAAAATTCTAAAATTATAAGAGTCAAATAAAAAATGTATTAACAAAATGAAATTTATAATATGATAAAAATAGTTTTTGAAATTTATGGGTGTTAATGAAAGATACACAAGATCCAGGCTTCCTTGTATTCCGTGAACACAAAAGGTAACGGTAGAGCCAAGCCTGACTTTGAGGTTAAAATAAGGACTTAATTGGATTTTTTTCAGGCTAGGCTTTTCTAGGCTTTTACATGTTTAACCAACTTTTCCAAGCTTTTTCAGGCTGATCTTGTGCCGATATTTTTGGCTTGATCAACTTTAAGGCCTGTGCTTTGGACTGGCCTTTTGGCTTACTAGGCTCGGACTTTGATAAGTCTAGCCTAGGTCGAGCTTAGGTTTTTTTAGTGCATAACTAGTGCCAACTGACCCAACTCTTCGTTGTAGATCCGTCAATAGATCTTATAAGAAAGAGTCTCGAGATCCTAGCTTTGCTAAATGTCTGCCATGAGGCATACTCTCTCAAATACAATAAATTATAATACATATATATGTTTGTGAGGATGAAATCATGGTTTTTACTACTTGGATAAAATAGATAAATACACAAAACTTGATTTCAAAAAAAATGTAGCAAAATGGATAAAGAAGTCCTACAACCATATCTTATAGTTTTGAGAGCACATTAACCATACTTTCTCTTGTTCTACACATGGCCTCTAATGGCTCATTTTTTGGCATGGTTAACCCTTTAGCTTCATTCAAGTCCACCATCTTCTCACTAACCCTTTTCCACTCAAAACATTGAACCATGGCTGCTAAAGCCATTCCAACCTCTCTATTCGCAAAGCCAGCTCCAGGGCATTGCTTTTTTCCCATTCCAAATGGTATATAATTATACCCTTCTCCAACTGGCTTCTCAAATCTTTCTGGCCTAAAACTTGTGGGGTCATCCCAGACCTTTGGGTCCCGATGGATGGCCCATGTGTTCACCAATAACATCGTGCCACGTGGTATGCTATAGCCTCCGATGGTGCAATCTTTCGAGGACTCGTGTGGCACGAAGAGGGGGCTTGTGGGAAATAATCTTAGAGTCTCGTTTACTATGTTTTGTAAGTATCGTAGTTTATGAAGATCGTGTTCCTGTATCATGTGGTCTTGTCCTACGTGTTCATCAACCTCGAATCTAGCTTTTTGTAAAACGTGTGGATGGTTTAGGAGAAGTGACATAGCCCATTCTATCGTAACTGCAGAAGTATCTGTACCCACAAGTAATATTGTCTACATTAAGAAAACAAAAGAGTTAAAAGTCCATAGGAGGGTATAAATTAACAATACTATATTTTGTCAAGTCTATTAGGACACCCAACCGTCCTTAACTGTGCTAATAGATAGAGGCGAAACACAAATGAACTGGATCGGCAATAGTGGAGGGGCCAAAAGAATTTTATACTTAAGACCCTAATGAATTGGAGATGTTTCACTCTATCGAAAAAAAGCCCAGAGGCCAAGGCCCTATGGCCATCCGCCCCTGCTAATAGAGTACTTGATGAGGCTTTAAATTTATTGGAACACAAATTGTATGTCTTACAATAAATTGCTAGTTAGACGACCTTACAAGTTCTATCGATGAATTTCGACAACTTAATATGACAGAATAAGTAAATTATTATATTAACCTATTTATATGACTTTTTTTGACACTGTTGTATCAGCATTTCATACATATGACATTTTTCAAAAGTGTGGTAAAAAGGCTAAAATGTGATAACCGGATCCTGGTTATCACCCAAGGTAATTAATGTGTGATTATCTGATTAAATGATTACGTGATAGAATGATAAATTTGTTTTATTTGATCATGCTAGTGTGTGGAAATTATGTGCATAATGTGGATGCATGTATGAGATTATGTGTATATGTAGAAGTATATATATATATATATATATATATATAATTATACACACATGCATGTTATGAGAATGCATGATGTGTGGGTGTGTGCATGTGACCGACTTTCCTGTTAAGGGAAGGTATAAAAGGAGGGTTTGACCCCCCATTTTATCTTCTTGGCCATTCTGATAAATTGAGCGATTTAGAAGGGAAAGCTTGCCCGGATTTTCTTACTTTTGCATTACAAGAAGGTTGCTTTCAAAAGGCCTGATAAGGTAAGTGATTTCTAAACCTTTTTGCATAAAACTTGTTACTGGTTTTATTTGTTGTTTATTATTGGAAAGAAATCAGTTAATTGCTTAAGGGTTTTATCCGGACAAAGGGTGACCGGATTAAGTTTAAATCGGGAAAGCTTGTCCGGATTAAGTCTAAATCAGACAAGGGTTGGGCGATTAAGCCCTAAACCGAGCGTTAAGCGGTTTAGTTTTAAACCGGTTAAGCATTGAGCGAGTTATGAATGATAAGTATGGTAAACATTTTGAACTGAGAAGTATGAATACGACCATATGGTGACCAGATTATTTTTAAATCGGTCAAGCTTTGGGCGATGTATTGTCCGGACTTGTTATCCGGACAAAGGTATTGGAATTTATTCCAAGTGTTAAATCGGACAAGCCTTGGGCAATGAGTTGTCCGGATTTGGTAAACCGGCTAAGACTTGACCGAAGATGAAGTCCGGCCAAGCCTATGTTGACCGGATTTGTATTATGCCTTGTGCTTGATTGATTAAAATTATTATTTTATCATAAAATGGAAATTTGATATAAATGATTTTGAATTAATAATAATTCCATTGGCTGCGGTCTATTTGGAATGATTTTTGTGAAATGTTTTGATGAGGAAATAAGGGTGGCATATCAAGGAGAGGTGTACCATGGGATAAGTGTGGCATATCAAGGAGAGGTGTACCATGGGATAAGGGTGACATATCAAGGAGAGGTGTACCATGGGATAAGGGTGGCATATCAAGGAGAGGTGTACATTTGATATAAGGGTGGCATTTGTATGTGTGTTATATGATATAACTCTTTCTATTATATCCCTTAAGATTACCGTGATCTGGAACCTTTATTTCTTTGTGATTTAAAGATTTAGGATCAAGGTTCTTATTGGAAATCATAGTCTGGACGTTATTGAGAAGAAAATAACAGGTTTGGCCTGAAACTTTATATAAACCTTGTTTGATTAGAAAAGGTTTAAAAGTGGCATTATATAAAACCTGACCGGTTCAAAGATATGTTATTGGAATAGATGAATGATTGGCATGAAAGGGGGAAAGAACTGGTATTTTGCCCCATTTGTTCATATATTTGTTATAAATATGAAAAGTTGTTTTTCATAAAGGTTTTGGTGATTTTCACCCTGCAATAACATAAGTAGGGTAACTCACTAGACCTTTTTGGTCTAACCCTCGTTTTGTGATTTTAACTATGTATTGCAGGAGGTACCGACGGTAAGGGGAAGGGGAAAATGTGATATTTTTCTATATGCATTTTTACTTGAAGAAATGTTTATGATGTATAGTTTTGATTGATGAACGTTGATTAGTACAAGACATGTAATTGAATTTTTGGACCTTGTATTTGGTAATGATAGATTCTTGTACTAAGGGACCTGAATGGTATAATATCATGTATTTCTTCTGTATGAAATATGTGTTACATGTAATGTGTGGTATGGGGTGTTACATAAAAGGACAATCTATTATTTGTTTCCTATTAACTACATTGTCCAACGTTGTATATAAAACTTGTTAGGCCGCCAAAGATTATACTAACAACTTAATTTTATCATGCCTTTAGATACGACAAAAGTGTTTTCTCCTATAAACTTAAAGTCCCATTACGTAATCTATTAGAACATATGGTGCATCGTAAAAGATTGATTTTGTGTTTTTTTGAAATATGTACTATATATATATATATATATATATATATAGTAAATGCTTATGCACTTAAACACAAAGATGGTGCTCGATTGGTTTGAGGTTGGACTCCAAAGGTCAAAAGTGTTTGGAGGTCCCGGGTTCGAATCCAAGGAAGAATAAAAAAACCCCCCTTGGCCACAGTCACATTTGGTGAAGTTAATTTGAATTGATGTCCTGAGACGTACTTTAGGCACTACTAGTAATACGGATTCCGTTATTGGGTACTTTTTATCATCCCTAAAATAATTAACGGAGAACTGAATCAATGGGAAACATACCAACATAATTCCCTTGAGTATCTGATCTGGGTAACTTTCAGGCTCTGATTCATGCAAAGAAAGCATGGCATCCATCAATTTCTTGTTAGAAACCCCATGTTTTTTGCCATATTCATCCGAGAATGCATCACTTTTCACCTTTAATCTCAATAATGTCATCTTCATACTCTGGAAATCGATCCACCGAAAGAACGGAAAATGATCTGATAAATACAAACCCCCACCAACTTTCGAGATCTCCCTGATCATATCTTGAAAGTTAACTGCCTCCTTCAAATCATCAAGTTCAGGACCAAAGTTTCGTTTCCCAGAAACAATCCTCATGATGATATTAAACGACATATCTTGCAGCTTTGATCTGAATCCCACTTTCGTGAAATCATCATGATCAACAGATTCCAGAAATAGGGTTTTTATTAATGATCGTATTTCATCTTGTCTGATATCCACATAAGTGTTGAGACGGGTAATCGAGAAGAGTTCAATGGTGGTGATGCGGCGGAGCTTCCGCCAATATGGGCCAAAAGGGGCGGGGATAATGGAGGTGTAATCATATTTCATGAACTTTCCGGTGATTAAACGTGGCCGATCTTCCAAAACATCGTTTTGCATGAAACATTCTTCAAGGGTGGATGGTGAGGATAGAATAAGAACTGGGTATGACCCAAATCGAAGGGTGAAAACTGGACCATATTTGAGACTAAGTTTCTGCAAAACTCTATGCAATGGGTCTTTGATAAGATGGAAATGGCCGAAAATGGGGAAAGAAGGAGGGGAAGGAGGAAGGTTTGTGTGATTTCTTGTCTGAGTAWGAAGAAGGAATTTGGAAAGAAGAAGAAGAAGAGGGAGAAAGGAGAAAAAGGGAAGGAAGTAATAAAAGAGGTGTTGCTCCTCCATGGACTAAGGAAGATGATGGTGAAATGTAGGGTGATGAATGGCCATTTATCATAGGGAAATGAGCGAATAAGCAAGAAAAGAGGTTAATCATGCATGGCCATATTTATCTTCTTATTTTACCCTTTATTAAGAGATGTTATTATTAAAAACAAAACTGCAATTTAGTCAATTACAAAATATAATTTTAAAATGTATATCATTTTCATAAGAAAATATATTTTAATTAATTGCACTTTGGTAATTCTAAGGCAATTGCTAAAAATGAGACGTAGACAAAAGATGCGTTTTTGTATTAAAAATTACGATAAGATATAAAAGGTAGAATATGGGAAAAATCATCATAGAGAATGGTTGATGATGACATGACATCAAATACTCAATTTTCAAGACATGATTTTTGGTTTTGCTGGTGATATCAATTAGGAGTCTAGATGATTTAAGCCTCAAATGGCATTTTTGTTAAAATATCTGAAGTATTTGCAATCTTGACTATCTTTGCAATCTTGACTATCTTAATTATTGTCCTTATTTTGACAGAAAAGTGACTGATAAGGGTAGAAAGTGATAATGTTACAAAGTCAAGTTGTTCARAATAGAAGAGGGACTGTACCTCATATCTTAGAGTTCTCAAGAGGTAGAGGAGCAAGAAGTTTCAATCTTCAAGGACCATATGTGCAATTTTCTAGAAAATATATTTCCCATCTCCGGTTCATATTTTTTTGTATATCTTAGTTGTTTAGCTCTCAACTTTTCTCTCTAGATTGTTCTCTCTCTCTACTTCTTCTCTCTAAACTTTTTTGTATAAGAATATGTATTGTTCTTGTTATAGTTTAGATTTAGATATTGAGGTAGATTTCATATCTTGTATGTTGTATTCTTTTGAATCTTGAAATAAAGCTTGTTTTCAAATATAATCTGTTTTTAACATGGTATCAGAGATAACCAGTTCAAATATCTAGAAGAACCTCTCTATTTTCTGTTGTGTTGAATCGAGTACATGAATAGTTACGGTTCATTCGGTCTACGAGTTCGCAAGATCTCGATTGTCGGTTCCCTTCTGTAATAGTCAATTTTTGTTTCCTTGTTGTTTGTTTTTGAAAGTAGATGAACGAATTGGGTTGTGTGCCTTACTAGATCTTAAAGATCTTGCTACGGTCCCTATTCTGTGATACCTTGTTTTTTATGTTTTTTTTTTTTGCAAGGATTTTTGGGGTTCTTGCGGTCTCTGTTCCTTGAGGTTGTCCAAACTCGAGCTAGATCTATGTAGTTCTTTGGTTGATTCTTTTTCAGGTCTGTTTCCTCTTCCAGATCTGTTTCCATATTATTTCATGTCATTCTTGTTCAGGTTTCATCCTGAATCTTCGCTATCTTTTCTTGATTGTTGTATGTTTCAAATTTGTGTCCTAATCCAGATCTTGTGGATATACTTTTTCTTTTAGATTTGTGTCCCCCCAGATCTGGTTTATAGCTCTTTTAATTATTGTATATTTAGTTTGTTCAGGTGTGTATCCTGGATTTGTTCTATATAGGTGGCTCTACTTTTTTATAACAAGAGTTAAAAGACGTTGTGGTAAAATTCTGGTTTGTATATTCTTCTCTGTTTCTCTTATTGCTTGTTCCTCTCTGTAAGTTTCCCTTTCCCCTATATTTTCTTCTTTGTGGTTCTGTTGTCTGGTTTGTGTGGCTGTTTTTTTTTTGTTGTTTCTTGGTTGGTAACTAAATAGTTAGCTTGACCTAGCACATTATCAGTGTTTTAGAAATCCTGCTTATATCTATTCAGTTCCCTTTTTGTGTTTGTTCATGTCTTCTCCAACATCTGAAACTGGAAGTCCAATGGAATTCAAAGTCACAAAATTAGACTTTGGAGATCCACTGTACTTGCACCTGAGTGACACTAGTGGAGCTTCTCTTTTATCATTCAAATTAAGTGGTACGTATAACTACAGAGTCTGGTCAAGTGCCATGACCTCAGCTTTGGAAACTAAAAATAAAACAAGTTTTATTGATGGATCCTATTCTCGTCCTATAAACGATCCTGCCTTAGAAAGACAAAGGAATCAGTGTAATTCTGTTGTCCTCTCTTGGATCCTGAGTTCAATGACTGAGGATCTTTTTCTAGGACAAGTGTTTTCTAAAAAATACTCCCAAGTTTGGGAAGAATTAAAAGAAACATATGATAAAGTAGATGGATCAGTCACATTCAATCTTTACCAGAAAATTAACTCCCTAAGTCAAAATGGCACCTCTGTTTCTGAATACTATCATAATTCTCTTTGGGAACAATTCGATGCTCTTGTAAAACTCCCATCCTGTACTTGCAAGGCTTCCCACGATTTTTTGGAACATAATCAATTGATTAAATTCATGCAATTTCTTATGGGATTGGATGATGTTTACCAACCCATTAGAAGTAACATCTTAACTAGAGATCCTCTTCCTTTTGTTAAAACCTCCTTCTCTCTTGTTTCAAGGGAGGAATCTCATGGGGTAATTTGTCTCAAAACCGTACCAAAACTCAACATTCTGCCATTCTTAGTAAAACTGTTGACAATAAAAGAAGATTAGGCAAAAACTTTACGCTTGTGTGTAAACATTTTGGAAATACATAACATACCAATGAAAGTTGCTTTAAACAGATAGGGTTTCCAAAAGATTTTCAAAATCGACCCAGACCAAAAAATCAAAGTTTTAAACCTCAAAATCAAAATTTTAAACCTACTGATAGTAATGTTTCTACCTCTGAACCTATCTCTGCTAAATCTTCTTTCTCTTTTTCTAATGAACATGTTGCCAAAATTTTAGGTTTAATTGATCAGAAACATACCTCTTAGTGAGCAACTGCCAATATGGCTGTTATGTTTAAAACTTCCCAATCATGTTGGATTATTGATTCTGATGTTAACCAATATATAACTCCAAATTGTTCTAATATGGACAATGTTGTTGATGTCACTGATTTAAATCTTAAAGTCATTCATCTAAATGGAACAAAAGCTAAGATTAACAAAATTGGAAACCTGAAATTTTCTAATAATGTCACTCTATTTGATGTGTTAGTTGTTCCTGATTTTCAATGTAAATATTTTATTTGTAGACAAGCTGGCTAGAGATAATAAAGTCTTTATATGGTTTGATGAATCAAAATGTTATGTTCATGATTTTCATCAAAAGAGTATTGTAAGGACTAGTAGTCAGGAAGGTGGGTTGCATTTCTTTGATCAAAATCTTAATAGTGAGTCATCTTTCCCTTCTAATAATATTCGTATGGTTTGTTTTGTGTCCACCCAATTATGGCATAGTCGCCTTGGTCACCCAGTTGACCAAGTGCTAAAAGTCCTAAAAGATCGGTTTTACATTGGAAGTGAAGTATGTGGTCCTTGTGAGGTTTGCCATAAGGCAAAACAAACACGGGAAAAAATTGATTCTAGGATGCACAAATCCAAAAGTCTTGGTGAACTCGTTCACTTAGACGTTTGGGGACCTTATCATGTTCAGAGTAGGGAAGGCTACAAATATTTTCTTACTATTGTTTATGACTTTACTCGTGCTGTTTAGGACTATCTTTTAAAAGGAAAACATGAAGTTAGTGAATATATTGAAAGCTTTTACAATCTTCTTCACACTCAATTTGGAAAGTCTGTTAAAATCTTTAGAAATGATAATGGGTCTGAGTTTACTAATAAAAAATTAAATGAGTTTTTTAAGATAAAAGGAGTCATTCATCAAATCTCTTGCAGTTATACACCTCAACAGAATGGGGTTGTTGAACGTACATTTTCTTAATGTTGCTAGGGATCTTATGTTTTAGGAAGGATTTCCGCTCAATATGTGGAGTGTATCCTCACTTCTACATATCTAATAAATAGAACACCTACGTCTGTCTTGAATGGTAAGAGTCCCTATTATCTTGTTTATGGGTTCCAATATGTTCTTACTCATCTTAGAAGTTTTGGGTGTCTATGTTTTGCTCATTTACCTAACATCACAAACAAATGTTCTCCTATATCTGAAAAATGTGTTTTGTTGGGTTATGCAAATTCAAAAACGGGATACAAACTTTATAGTCTGGATTCTAAATGAATTATTGTTTCTCGTAATGTCAAGTTCTAAGAAAATGTGTTTCCCTTTAAGATGAGTATGGACATGACTGATGAATCCAATATTGATGGTATAAATGACCTTAATTTCTTTGATTATGTGTTTAGTTCATCTAATGATCTTGGTGATTCTCCACCCAATGATGAGAATGGAGACTAGTTAATTGATGAAAATTCTCAACAGTCCCTTTCTGGCCACAGTAACCGTAGTTTACTATGTAGCCCATTTAGAGCTGCCAATAGGCAGTGTCTAGGCAGCTCAGGTCACCATGTTAATCAAGGTCCTTCTCAAGAAGATGACATTGATAAAGTTACCAGTTGGCACCTTTGGGTAGCTCTGAGGCTGCTAGTATTTCTTATGATGCTAAAACATAGTATGAAGATATTAGTAGAGACAACAATGAAACTTCCCTTGAGTCACATCTCTAAGGGTACTTAACCCCAAACTCCGTTTTTAACTCAGTCTTTTAGAAAATCTTCTAGAATTTCCAGTTTTCCTCGAAAATTTGATGACTTTGTGGTTGAAGGAAAAATTAAGTATGGGATAGAAAGGGTTGTAAATTATTCGTGTCTTTCTTCTGAAAATTTATGTTTTGTTTCAAACTTGAATAAATCTGTTAAGCCTAAGTCATTCCAAGAAGCTATTAGTGATATTAATTGGATAAATATCATGAATGATGAAATGGAAGCTTTGCACATAAATGGAACTTAGTATATTACTGAGTTACTTCAAAATAGAAAAGCTATAGACTGTAAGTGGATTAATAAGATTAAGTATAAATCCACTGGAGAAATAGAAAGATATAAAGCCAAACGTGTAGCTAAGGGGTATAGTCAGAGAGAAGGTCTTGACTATGAAGAGACCTTCTCTCCCGTTTTTAAAATGGTTACTGTAAGATGTATTGTTGCTTTAGCTGTTCAATTTAAATGGCATTTATTTTAATTAGATATTAATAATGCTTTTTTAAATAGTGAGTTAGTTGGAGATGTGTATATGTGTTTACCTAAGGTTATTATAACCCTGGTGATAAACGTGTTTGTAAACTTGTTAAGTGTTGATCCTCTCTCTCAGTAATTCGATGATAATCCCTTTTACCTTATACAAAGTATTTATGTTTCTGTCTTTCAGTTCCAATGATCATCACTGAGACTATTCAGTTATCGATGAAGAACTTGTAATGTAAATCCATCAGCAACAGTGATACCTTCAAGAAGACAAAACTCACACCAAAGAACCTTCAGTGAAAGTCGAAGACTGAAACTGAAGGTTAGAGACTGGCGAGTATGTGATCTGAAGTGGTATTCAGTGATTACAACATTGTCTACATATGTATGAACACTACCCAAGCCTCAGCGAATGCTGAAGAGACCTTTAGGCTATTCCAGCATCAATCAGATTTTTAAATCGCTCAGTCCATCTAGGTTTTCACCCGATTTAGTTTGTGTAAATTATAACTTGAGCATATTCAACCTGAGCGGATTAGTGTTTAAATCGATCACAACCTGAGCGGGTTAGTGTTTAAATCGCTGACAACTTGATTGGATAAGAGACTTTATCGCAGACAGTTTGAGCGATTTAGGTAGTTCATCATAGACGGCTTGAGCGATTTAGTATCTAAATCGGATACAAGTTGAGTGGACTAGGCAGTTCATCGATCACTGTTTGAGCGATTTAGAGAATAAGCTTGAACGATTTATTGTCTACATCAGATACAGTTTGAGGGACTATGATATAAATTGGATACACATCTTAAACGGATTAAAGTGCTCATCGTACAAGGCTTGACCGGTTTAGAGTGTAAATCGAAGTCAGCTTAATCGATTTAGTGAGTTCTTCGGTCATAGCTTAAGCGATCAAGAGACTATATCGGAGATTGCTTGAGCGATTTAGGGACTATATCAATCTCAACTTAACCGATTTAAAGTGTTCATCGATCACAACTTGATCGATTTAGGGATTATATCGCAGAATGCTTGATCGGTTTAAGAACTAACTTGAGCGGTTTGTGGTTCTGCTACTCGTTGAAACTGCTCTCTGCCGTTCAGATTATTCGAATATGGAAAGCTTTATGGTCGCTATGTGATGATTTCTGATGAACTGGAAGCCAATTCTCGAGGTAGTTGATGATGAAAGAAAGGACTACTACCTCCATTGGTTTAGTTTTCTTTTTGCACAAAGGCTGAGTTTGTGTTGGGATTGTTTTTAGGCTTTTTGTTTTAAGC